TTGGCTTACTCACACGGGCAATCGCCCTTGGCGCTTGGGAGCGAGCAAGGATGAGACTAATGGTTTATTTTTATTTGGAGCCAAGAGAGGCTTAAATAATCCACTATATATGTCGCCTTGGTTACAACCAAGATGAGGTCGTGTTAAGGATCAAACATGGATATTAGTGCCCACTTTCCATGTTGTGCCTGTTATGATTAGCTAGATGCGAGATCTCATTTGGCGCCTAGAAGGCGAGCAAATAGAAAATTCGGGTTAGGCGCTAGAAAGCGACTAGACTAATATCTGTACGGTGTATCGAGGGTGACGTCACTCTTTTGGAAGAGTTACTCCACCGTAACATGTATTCATACTATATGTGCTTGGCGACTGAGTAATGAGGTGAGAGAATAGATCTCTGTTTCCTCACCGTGTGAGTCTTACGTGTCATTATTGATATGATTTTCATTTATGTACCATTTTGTGACTTTTGACTATGTCATAAGGTAAGGGGTTGATGTTCTGCTATTTTGGTATGTTGCCTGCGGTCATGTATGATTCGGCCTTAAGGGACATCACTGGGAAAGCGGTCAATCCTAAACTAAATGGCATGAGGGCAAAGGGAAGATCATCTAGTATTACACCACTGTTGTATATTCACTGCTGGCAACTCACATCGATCTGTATGAGAGGCGGATTGAGTGTGAATATATTGCAAGAATTGAGAGGGTCAAACATGTTCTTTTTGAGGGATTAGAGATGTTTTTTGGATCGGTGTAATTAGATGGGTCTGGGGTATATGAGACACTATTTCTGTTCTTTTGGGGTTGATGTCTCTATGTTGGCTCATTTTGAGTTTCTAGTATAGAACTCCCACATGCAGGTGTTCTCAGCAGTCGCATGATGCAGTGGCTAGTATGAGATTGTTCATTTTTTGGAGAGAACTCATGTGCGAGTGGGAGATGTTAGAAATTGGGCGCCCATGTGACATGACCCTTTTCTGAACCTTTTGAATCTTATCCAAATAAGTTTGAATTTGAATTCAAAACCTATTTGGATAACTACTTAGGATATCTTTATTTATCATATCAACTGATATGGATAGATGAGATAGGTATCTTATATATCTGATATGGATAGTTTTATTATTATCCTATATATCTGATATAATATGGGATATGGGTGATTAAGAGAATAATAAAATACTATTTATACATTTTCAACATTAAAGACAGCCATATATACAACTGCTTTTGGCATTTTCTTTTTAAAAATATCATTAGCATATTATTTTATATTTGTCTTATTTTATAAATTTGGGACAATTACAAAAAAAAAAAAAATCAAAATTGGACTCTTATAACAAAATAAACTTTGAGTTTTAAATTTTATCAATTTAAATTTAAATTTTTTAATTTTTTTCAATCTAAATTATTTTCCTATTTTCATTAATTAAAATAGACAAAAAATAATATTTTAGCCATTAAACTCAATATAAATATATATATATATATATAAAATGTCCTAAATATTCATTTTCATCAAGTTTAATAATTAAAATACATATTTTTTTCGTCAATTTTACTTAACGGAACTAAATAAATGATTAAAATTGAAAACAAATCAAAAATTTAAGATTTAAATTAATAAAATTAAAAATTTATTTTATTATCAGAATTAAATACTGAATATTTTTTTTTTAAATTTTTCCTATACATTGTTTATTTGCAAATTATACATATATTTTTTTCATTCTTTTCAATTAATACTTGCTTGTCAATTAATACTTGAAGTACCCTATATCTTTTTCTACTTCTTTGTCCAGTGTGTACAATTTGATATCATTGTGAAATCTTTTCGTCATTGTACTCTTTAAGATACCCAGATGACTCAGTCCCTTACGGACGCACTGTAGCGTAGAACGCACTAGTGCCGGTCCCACCTGAAATCTCTGTCGTAGATTCATCATCCCACGCGCTCTCTCCCAATTGCGCAAGCGCGTGTCACAATTTTTAGGCACATTTGAGGGGTAATTAGTTGCTGTTTGTTTGTTTAGACGAAATAGAAAAAGAAAATTGTAATTCATTCAACTATTAATATTGAGATATATAGTTTTTTAATTATTTGGTTGGAAATGATATGTGTTGTGTTTTTATTTTATCATGAAATTAAATATCTGAAAATGACTATTTTATTGATTTCAATGTTTAATTAGAATATTATGATTAAAGATAAATGCATAAAAGATTATTTTATCATTTTTAATTGTTTACTTAGTAATGGCAATAATAAATCTGTTTTTAATATTTTAATTATTTTTTAGTAGATTAAATAAAAAATTATTTTATTTTATTTTATAAAAACTAAATAAGTTTATTTTTTTAATTAACTAAATTAAATAAATAAAACATCAATAAAAATTTATGTTATTTTTAAAATAAAAATTAAATAAATTTATTTTAAAAAATATTAAATAATGAAATGAAATAAATAATAAATAATGAAATTAAATAAAAAAAATCAATTAAATAAAACGTCAACAAACTCTTAAAATAAAACATCAATAAAAAATCTATAAAAATCATTTAATAAATTAAGTAAATAAATTTAGTAAAAATTAAATGAATTTATTTTATTTTATTTTTTAATTGAGATTTTTATATTTACTTTTATTGTATTAATACAATATATAATGAAATCAAATACTTGAAAGATAAATGTGTCATTTTACAACTTAATCCCATGGGGATTTAATCCCACTCTTTTTATCACACATTCTCTAGGAAACACGATAGTCTAACATATATAGAATTCATAATTCGGCGAGACTCTTAATCCAACTTATAAATTTTCAACCAAACAATAGATTTCATGGCAGATTGGATATAGAGTCGAATCCCTCTCTCTAATCCTTCCAAACAATGATATTTTTTTCATTAATTTTTAAAATAAATTTTTACTTCTTCCACGATTCATTTCACCTCTTATCATCGGCCTCTAGTTGAACAACCTTTGACAATATACAATCACATTTTTGTGAGTTTTGGTCACTCTTTATCAACCTTTCGAACACTTCCTATGACTTCCGGTGCCCCTACCTCTAGCCATTCTCATTCCCAACCACCACATCCATCCATTACCGATTACTAGCCAACATTTTTAATAATTCATCTAGTAACTGTGTTAGCTCCAAAAAAAAAAAAAATACATTAAAACATAAACACGTGTAATGAAATAAAGGTCAATATTGGACTAGACCGAGTTGGCACAACCCATGAAATTGGTGTCCAAACTTGCTATTAAAATAAGGAGTGATTTGGAAAGTTAGTTAAAAGTTGATTTTTTTTATTTTTTTTCTTTTTATATGTAAAAAATATAAGAGATGATATGATTCAAAATAAATTAAAAGTTAAAAACTAACTTCTCAAATCACTCCAAAATCTGGTGCATTTTTTTTGCAGTCAAATTGGACTTGTCTAAGGCCAAAAACCTTAAGCACAAGTCCTAGCCAACCAACTAATAAGCCAGGTTATGAGCAAACTCAATAGGCCAATATTCTAACCTTTTTTTTCAGATTTACTTTTTTTTTTCTCTGTCGAGCTGGCAAACCAATGGGCCACCTCTCATGAGCCAATAGGCCTGATTATTCAGCCCAATTGGGCTTTAACACCTAGGCCGAACCCAAGTCTTATTCAGAGCCTAGCCCGCCTGTTGGCCCAATAGCCAAGCCTGTTAATTTACAATAGCAATTTTGTAGTTTAACTAGTGTCACAAAAAATATATTTGTACCAATGGTTGGCTAAAACGTCGCTATAAGACCGCAAGTATAACTTCTAGGGGTTTTTAGCAGAATTTTTTACCACTGCTAAAAATCAAAATTTTTCTAGGACAAGTGGGACTAGGATAAGTCACGAGCTTTCGGACCAAATAATGACTCTTAAAAGGGACTGTGCGGTAGCAATACAATCATCTAAAAAATTTTTTTTTTCAGAATTTTGTATTTGTTGTGTTTGTTTTATAAAATGCATTTCATGAGCACGTAATTTTTTAAAAGTTATAGAATTTAAAAAATTCAAAATATTTTGTTGTCACTTGTTTGCAAACAAGTTTTTACTTCCTTAGAGACCACTCAATCAATAAACAAGTTTGCCCAGGACCCATAAAAAAATTTCCAAAGCCCCAATTATCCAAAATAAAAAATTGAGTTTATAGGTCCTAATTTTGATGCTTAGCTTGGGAGTTCAGAATCAATTTGGACCTCTACAAAAGTCATTTCCCTGGTCACCCTTTTCCACTTGCCACTTTTTTTCGCCAGCCACTCCAACCCAACTATCACCTCCCACAACTCATTCATCCCTCAAATCATGCTCTAAGTATACCGATTGGGCATCCCCTACCATCCGAATACCTTATTTCTCAACTTATTAAACATGTTTTTTTTTTTAAGTTGTGTATGTTTTAAAATTTTATGCACGTATAAACATGAATAAGAGACTACCCTAGGGTTTGGTAGTCATTCTAGGCTTTTTTTTTTTTTAATAAATTATTTGGGAGCATTACTAGGCTTTTGAACTTGAAAAAATAGTTCATTCAATTCAACATTAATTCTCTGAAGTTGACGAGGAACCAATCTTTGGGGTAGAATTATGTTTCCACTCATTGGGCTTGCACAAATTCACTTGACAAAGTGATTTTTTTTTGTGCCCTACACATCTCCATGACAAATGAAACGTAAAAACAACTACTGATATACTTAGAATATATAACTACACATTTTCCATAACAGGGTTAAAGTTAATACATCATTTGGCCTCCGAAACATTATACTTGGGCATATAGCATGGTTTTAAATAACGAAAGTGATATCGGGACATGTAATCGGTATTTGATGATTTAATTGTTGATATCAGACAATATTTATGGATATCAAAAATTCAAAATACCAATACATAATGGCCGAATCGATGATATTTAAAACCTGACATATAGAGCATACAAATTACTAATAAATAGCTTGCCAGCTAGGCAGAATCCGATGACCTGCCTATGTAGGAGTTGAGGGTGAGCTCAAGGGAAGTACGAGAGCTGCCGTGGCTGTTGTCGTTGGAATGGTACCAGCTGGAGTAGTAGTTGTCAGATTCCGGCTTAATGTTGCAGAAGCCGGAGATGTCTTCGCCGTGCATGGGGAAGAGAGGGAGGGTTTCTATCTCTGGTGCTTTTTGTTGTTGTTGCTCTTCTTCTTCCTCCTCTTCTAGGGTTTCTTCCATTGATTTCCTCTTGTCAAAGAATGGGTAGGATGAAGAATATGGGTCTGCACCAACCCAGAGATTGTGGCCTATAGACCCACCACCACTGCATCCTGCTGATATGGAGCAGTCCTGGTTGGAAGAAACAAGTAAAATGAGAGAGAGAGAGAGACTCTGATTGACATTTGAATACTTATACAGTAGTATCAGACTACTATGCGGTATCCCTATAGTATTGCCAATATTGACTCACATTTGTGAAGTAATTAAAGAAATAATGAATGATGTAGCTAAATAAGACCAAATGATATTTCAAGAACTATTTAATAATTTCTGATCAACCGAGTTTATGTTGTCTACTTATAAAACAAGAATAATGGAAGAAAGCTCGAACTCAAAGCAAATGGCTACCAAATGGATTCAAGATTAAAATACTAAAACTCGGAAAGAGTCATTAAACTCTTTTTCTTCTCTAATTATCAATTTTCTTCTTCTATTTTCAAATTTTCTTTGCATAGACTGTAACCCTTGTTGTTTGGCTCAAAGAGAAAAGAGTTACCCTTTATGAAATTTATTAAACCTTACCAGCTAAAGAACTTCTTTTAATAGATGTTTTGAAGAAAATGTTTAAGTTGTCTCTCCTTTTATAATTGTTTGGAGAGCCAAAGTTTTATTTTAATGATGCATATAAACTGCACTAGATGTACAAATTTCATGTTGGCTTTTTGCCAAAGCAGGAAATTGTAAAGGTTGAGAGAGGAAGACAATAACTAGACCATGATTTTGTGTTCACTGGCTGCCCAACTACATAATGACGGCAACCTGTATTCAGTCAGTGAGTCAGTAAATAGTATTAGATTAGAGAGTAGTATAGTATAGTGTAACTTACCCTAAAACTTTTCTCCATAGTCACAGATCCATACCCACCACCATAGCTTCCCATCTGCCCTATAGCAAGCATTCCAGGTGATGAAGAAGAAGATGGCGATGGAACCCCTGCAAAATCACACACACCACCAAACTAATATTAAAAAAATATATATATATATCAAAGTACTTGTTTTTTTTTTTTTTTTCGGTTGTCAAAATTAGTGGGTTAGTTAATTAGTTAGTAGTAGTAAATTAAATTACTACTAATAAACATTCAATGCTTCACCATAAATTCAAACTCAGAATCTCCCCCAATTTATTTCTTAGAAATTAAGGAGAATAACCACTTGAATGTTTGAAAAATAAATAAATAAATAAAACACAAGGATCTCAACTACTTGACCTAAACTTAAGTTCTTCAAAAAATTATCCATAGATAATCCACATTAAAAATAGAAAAACCAGTTTAGTTTTTAGCATGATTTGAACATAGTGACAAATGTAAAGCAATAAATATATACATATTGTAAGTACATCTACAAAAGCATTGCGGAGAAATGAACAATGAAAACAGAGAGAGAGAGAGAGAGGTTGAAGATTGTTGATACTTTACCAGGGCTGATGTTAGGGTACTTGTTATAAACAGGATCTTCAGATCTCCAACCTCCTCCTCCTCCTCCTCCTCCTCCTGCATTTCCAGCAACACCACTTCTCTGCATGGGGATGTCAGTGGTGAACCTCTTCTTCTGCCTCTCTCGAGCCTTATGGTTCTGAAACCAATAAAACACATTCTTTCCTTCAATCTTTCCATACTGTCTCAACCTAGCAGATATCCTCTGAATCTGATCAGCACTGGGAGACCTAACTCCATTGTTGTAATAAAGGTCCTTCAGTATTCTTATCTGATCAGTGGTTGGTGTCCACCGAGTACTACTCTGCCTACATAGAAAGTTACTCTTCCCACTTCCACTTCCACCACCACCATCTTCTGTTGGTTGTTGTTGTTGTTGGCTGTGGTGGTTTTGTTGTTGTTGGGGTTCCATGATAGATTGAAAAACAAAAACAAAACAAAGAGTAGAGAACAAAAACCCAGAGAGTGAGAGAGGGAAGGGTTGGTGAGAGAGAAGGGATGAGAGGGTGAGAGATATAAAAAGGGGGAGAGAGAGAAGTAGGGCACATGGAGGAGGATATCAGAGAGATATCTGGGAGAGAAGGACTGAAGTTGACAGACAGAGGTAAACAAAAAGGAAGGGACAAAAGAAAGAATAGAAAGTGAGGGATTCAGAGGACTTGCTTGGATGAAAAGGCATTGAGAAGGTATTATTAAGCAAGAAAGAGAGAGAGAGAGAGAGAGAGAGAGAGTACTGAAATGTAGATAATGAGGTGGGTTATGATATGATAATATTTTGAATGGAAAAAACATAAAGAACTTTTGAATGAATGAATGAATGCTACAAAATGATATGTTGAGAGATTTTGGAGCTCATGAGGTTGGTTCACTTTTCATGGAGATATATGATCATTCTTTACCAGGCCCAACCCAAAAGCCAAACTACACAAGATGTTCTTGTACTTAGCCAGTGGGTGCTTGGACAGAATTGTAAATAGAGAAATGCTTCCTATTCAAGTCCAAAACTATAGTGGAGGGAAATGACCCGTGCCTCATATTAGAGATGAGATGGGTGTGGGGTGGGGTTGTGCTTGATCACTTCCTTTTTGCGTCACACCCTCAATTTTGTTCATGTCGCGGATACTTTCAGCAACCAAAATTACACTTTTGGTGACCAAAAAATAGGTCGCTAAAAGTGTTTTTTTTTGTAGTGGATGTTTATTTAAAGTTCTTGTTGCGATGCCATACTTTAAGTAGATTTTGACCATTAATGTTAAATTTGGACACATTTTTGGGAATTGTAATCTTGCTAATATGCAATTAACTAAATGATAGTATGCTTTTGAACATAAACCCCTTAAGAAGATATATAAATTTCATTCATATCATGCATATAGTTTTTATAATCTCATCATAGTTTTAAATAAGAGTATTGGTGATACCATATCGATTGATATATTAATGAATAACGGTATCGAAAAACTAAAATCTCATTACATAACTATCGAAGCAATATGAAACAATCAATATTTAAATTAAGAACCTCACCAAAAAACACTTTCTTTTTCCTTTTTTTCTTTTGCTTGATATAAAGGTAGGAGGACGCGACCAACTAGTTTCAACCTTTTTTGGACATTATAATAGAAGCCATAACCAATTGGGGAAGAGAGGCCCAGACGGAGTCCCACCGAGCATATAGTGACAGAGTCGGTAACCTACTATAGTATTAACACAAGTTCCTTCATTCTTGAAAGTGTTTGAATTTTTTCTGTCATTGAATTCCATCTAAATAAGCAGACTCCACACTGTACTAGGGGTTTGGAAACATTCAGGGACCAGATTGTTGGATATTGATCAAGAATATCAATGTTCACTAGGGACTAGGGCTTAACTCTTTTTTGGTTACCTTGACCAAAAATAAAAAATTTACTAATTAGGTGTTAGGAGAGAAAAGTAACCGAATGAGGAACTTTTTTTCAACATGTAATTCATGAAAAATTATAGCAGAAGTGCAGTTGAAAACAAATTTTTTGGGTGTCTTGGTTGATTTTACCCTCTCTCTTTTCCTTTCTTCCATTTTTTTTTTTTTTTGTGTTGGAAATTTACATGGGTTTTTGTTTTTTGTTTTTTTTTTTATCAGCAAAAATTAAACTTTATTGAATTAAAATCAAGGAAAAAATCCTTACATCTTACATCAATAAAGAAAACCAAAAGCAGTGCTAAGAGCATCGTAGTGAATCTTACTCATTCCAACAAGGTTGGCACAAGAAAGCCACCCAATCATTTGCTAGCCCAAGCCAAATGGTGAGAGACCAACTGGCAGAAAAACCAATACAGGGCAACACATCAACCACACAAAAAAACCAATACAAAGCAGCACAGCAGCGACCACAACAAAACAAATATATGGACAGTAGCAACCACTACAAAAAAAAATCACTTTTGGCGACTAAATTTTTAGTCGCCAAAAGTCTGTTTTTAGTCGCCGAAAGTCAGTTTTTGACTTTTCCCGACAAAATTTTTTAGTCGCCACATTTGTCGCGTATCTGTGGTCGCAGACGGTATTGGCGACTAAACCTTTTTTAGTCGCCAAAAATAGGTGTTTACCGACTAATAAATTAGTCGCCAATAGTGTTTTTCACTTTTGTTAGCTACTAATTTTTTTTTAGTAGCCAAAAACAGCACTTTTGGCGACTAAAGTCAGGTTTAGTAGCCAAAACTCCTCCTTTTAGCTACTAATTTTTTTTTAGTAGCCAAAAACAGCACTTTTGGCGACTAAAGTCAGGTTTAGTAGCCAAAACTCCTCCTTTTAGCTACTAATTTTTTTTTAGTAGCCAAAAACAGCACTTTTGGCGACTAAAGTCAGGTTTAGTAGCCAAAACTCCTCCTTTTAGCTACTAATTTTTTTTTAGTAGCCAAAAACAGCACTTTTGGCGACTAAAGTCAGGTTTAGTAGCCAAAACTCCTCCTTTTAGCTACTAATTTTTTTTTAGTAGCCAAAAACAGCACTTTTGGCGACTAAAGTCAGGTTTAGTAGCCAAAACTCCTCCTTTTAGCTACTAATTTTTTTTTAGTAGCCAAAAACAGCCACTTTTGGCGACTAAAGTCAGGTTTAGTAGCCAAAACTCCTCCTTTTAGCTACTAATTTTTTTTTAGTAGCCAAAAACAGCACTTTTGGCGACTAAAGTCGGGTTTAGTAGCCAAAACTCCTCCTTTTAGCTACTAATTTTTTTTAGTAGCCAAAAACAGCACTTTTGGCGACTAAAGTCGGGTTTAGTAGCCAAAACTCCTCCTTTTAGCTACTAATTTTTTTTAGTAGCAAAAAATCTGCACTTTTGGCGACTAAACTGAATTTTAGTCGCCAAAACCCTTACTTTTGGCTACGAAATTGATTTTAGTCGCCAATAACTATGCATTTGGCTACTAAATTGTCTTAGTCGCCAAAAGTGAACACTTTTGGCGACTAATTGCATTTTAGTCGCCGATTGTCCTACTTTCAGCGACGAAAATTCATTTTTTAGTCGCCAAAGCTGGATTTTCTTGTAGTGAACCTCCAAAACAAAGAGATAGACAGCAGCAACCACAACTCAAAGCCCCCTGATAGATGTCAAATTATAAAGCAAATCATTGACTGAAAAAACCATTCCCTTAGTATGATACTTTACCAAAAAAGCAATGTGCAACTTAATGGACTCACAAACACCACACCAGTTAACCACTGAACCAGCAAATTTGATTTTATTTCTAGCCTTCCACACATACCACATGATCACAGATGGTAATGCATCCCACATACACTTAAGCATTTTCTTAAATTTAAAACCACTCCACCAATCCAGAAGCTAATTTATATTCTCAGGCATATCCCACACCAAACTCTACCACTTTACCACTTCAGACCATATACACGAAGCAAACTGACAATAAAGTAGGACATGACTTACATCTTCAGCACATGAATGACAAAAGCTGCATAGAGAGGAACCACTGGGGTCTAAAACACCAATACTCTATAGAAACACAGATGTTTTAAGTCTACCTTTCCATGCCAACCAACTTGTGAACTGCATTTTTGGAGGAGAGATACCCTTCCACAACAACCTAGGCACCGCTAAACCTAAACTGCCATTGGAGGAAAGCCACTCATAAGCTGATTTCACTGAATAGACCCTCAAGGTTCCAAAAGTCCACACCAATTTATCCTCCACACCAGTTCTTAACTCTGGGACAGAATTAAGCACATGAACAAGAGCAGATAAATCAATAGATTCCCAAGAATAGAGGTTTCTTTTGAAGTTTAACACCCATCCAAATGATGAAGACCTTCTACTGAGAATATAAAAAACAGAGGCTTCTTTATCCTGAGAAAGCATAAACAGTCTAGGGAAAACTAACTTCAAACAACCAACATCAATCCATGAATCATTCCAAAAAGAGCACCTATAGCCATCACCTAAAACAATACTAATATGGGAGTGCAGGGAATCAAAGAAAATAGGCCTAGAAATAACTAATGGCAGTATGTCAGACCATACTCTAGAGCCACTAATTTGGAGATCAGTTGGAGGTAACCAAGACTTTGGAGCGTACTTATATTTACTGCAAATAATGTATTTCAAAAAGCCTTCTCTACGCACCCAAACCTCCACTACCACTTAGCCAGAAGACACAAATTCACATCTCTAATTCTTCTAATACCAAGAACACCAACTCTCAAATCTTTAGTAACTTCAGACCACTTAACCAAATGCATCTTTTTCTTAAGGTCAGATCCCTCCCCCCCCCCCCCCCCCCCCCAAAAAAAAAAAAAATGAAGCTTGAATTCGATCAAGTCTTTAACAACTCCTCCAGGAATCTTAAACAAAGATAGATAATAGACTGGAAAGTTGCTCAAAACAAATTTAATTAAAGATAATCTACCACAAAAAGACAGATGCCTTCTCTTCCAACTGGGAAGCTTAACTTTAAACTTCCTAACAATAGGGGTCCATGTTGATTTAAGTCTAGAACTAGCACCAAGAGGTAAGACTAAAAAAGAAATAGGAAGCACGCCTTTTGGAATAATTGAGCATATCAGCATACTGATCTGGAATGTCCTCTTCCACACCAACTCCAATAACCAAACTTTTGCTGTAATTAATCTTAAGACCAGAAACAACTTCAAAGCATCGATGCAGCATCTTGATACAAAGAATTTCCTCCTAATTGGCCTCACAGAACAAGACGGTGTCATCTGCAAATTGAAGCTGTGATACCTTTACCAAATCATTCCAAATAACAGTCCCATTGAAAAATCCCAACTCTCTAGCCGTCAAAATCAAAATATTAAGGCCTTCCACAACCATATTAAATATTAAAAAAAAAAGGGAGAAAGAATCCCCTTGCCTTAAACCCCTTTCAGTATTAAACTCCTTTCAGCATTAAACTCATCTG